TACTGCCCCCGATGTCCATGCGATGTTGCAGAGTCGTGTAAGCCAACACAACCCTACAACATCCAGAGCCTTTTTGAATTGTGTTAATCACAAAGGTTAATAAGTTGTAAATTTATATGAAAGGATTGTTTTCTGAGAGGTTTATTCAGTTATCTTCAGCAGAAAACAGTGAAACAGACTGCTTACATGATTACCCATCTTTTAATGCAGCAGATGAAACTAATAAAAGGTGTGCAGATGTTAGAATAAAGCAGTGAGACACTGCATGAGTCACTTCTTTTTAATTCCTCATGGACAAATCTTGTTAAAGACAACGACTTCCTGCCCTTTTGAAGACACTTTCTGCCTATTTCCTGTTTACACGAGTTACAGATCTCTGTCGGCACTAACAGACCTTATCGTCTTAATGATGTTAACAGCCGGGGAGGAAAAAAAGCTGTAATTGTACCAAAGTGTTTGTCAAACCCCCGAGGTTAACTCGTTACTAAATTTAAATGAAACGACACACATGGGACAATTTTTTAAAAAAGTTCTAGCAGATTAGAAAAAAAGCTAAAAGTCCACAAAAACAAACTGATAACAGAGAGACTTTCAAAATAATATCAGATCTTTGAGTTCAGCGGGTTTATTTTTTAGCTGCTGTTTTGCTAATTTTACCATTTAGCTGTGGTTAAGCTCATTTTAGTCTTTGTCTACAATTTAGCTAACATTAGCATAAAGCTACTGTAACACTAATTTCAGTCTTTAGCTGTATAGCTTTTAGACATGGGTTAGGTAGTTTTAGCTACTATTTTGCAAATAGTACAGTTTAGCTATCATTGAAATAATTTAGTCTTTGGCTACACTTTAGCTAGCTTTGAGTTATTATTTTGTGAAGTTTGCCTCTCAGCCACTGAGCTTTTAGATAAAGTTTTGGTTACTTAAGCCTTTAGCTACTGTTTTGCTAATTTTACCAATTAGCTGTGGTTTAACTAATTTTAGTCTCTGTTTAAAATTTAGCTAATGTAGCTTTGAGCTAACACTACTAATGTCCACTTTTAGCTACAGAGCTTTTAGACATTGTTCTGGTGCTTTTTTGCCTTTAGCTACTGTTAAGCTAATTTTACAGTGTATCTATGGTTTAGCTAACTGTAGCTTTGAGCTACTGTTTTTGCTAATTTTATCCAATAGCCACTGAACTTGTAGGTATAGTTTGATTTGCTTTAGCTACTGTTTTGCAGATTTTACTATTTAGCTGTGGTTTAGCTTTTGTCTGCATTTTACTGATTTGGTAACTTTACCTTTCAAAATAATATCAGGTCTTTGAGAGAATCAGAACTACAGTTCTGACTCTATTTCCGCCATTGTAGTTTTAATTTGAAAGGATTACAAAGTGGAAGCTGTAGTTATGGGTGAGAGCAGCTTGACTGACAGAGTAAAAGCATCATTCCCCTCATGTTGATCCATTGGACTGGTGAAAATATGTGCTGAGTCATCGTTTGAGAGGGTCAGGGTGTTCTACCTTTAAACCACTTCCTGTTCCTGGGAGAGGTCAAGGAGTTCGTTTGTCACTTTTATCTTTCGTTCATCTTTTCCTCTATCAACACACAACAAACCCGACGTGACCCCAATCAACACACGGCGGCTCATGCCCTCACTGTTACAGAGCGTGTTTTTATTCACGAGTCATTGTTCGCTCAATTATTAAAGCACACATCCCACCTGTTTGCCCCCCCGAACACGTCACCCCTCGTTCTGCAGCTCGTGAATGTTTAATAACTCTTAGGTTCGCCTCGCTCTCCATCAGCCACAAAACAAAAACTTATTTTTTAAATTAGATTTGTTTTAACAAATCTAATTTGTCTGCCCTGTTTTTGTGGGATTTGTTTCTCCTTTGGATTCTCAGACACGATTTATTCAATTAGCTGAAATATTGAACAGATAAACTAGTTTATTATGAAACTAAGATCATTTAATTCTGTGATGGGACATGGTTGGAGCCACAACCGGACCGGTTGTGGTTTGGTTTATGTGGCCCAAATCTGCAAGTGCCACAACTGGCCCAGTTGTGGTTTGGTTTATGTGGCTTAAATCTGCCGGTGCTACAACTGGCCCAATTGTGGTTTGGTTTATATGGCCAGAATCTGCCAGTGCCACAACTGGCCTGGTTGTGGTTTGGTTTATATGTCCAAATCTGCAAGTGCCATAACTGGTCCAGTTGTGGTTTGGTTTATATGGGCCAAATCTGCAGGTGCTGCAACTGGTCCGGTTGTGGTTTGGTTTACATGGCCCACATCTGCAAGTCCCACAGCTGGTCCGGTTGTGGTTTGGTTTATATGGCCCAAATCTGCAAGTGCCATAACTGGTCCGGTTGTGGTTTGGTTTATATGGCCCAAACCTGCAAGTGCCACANTCCGGTTGTGGTTTGGTTTATATGGCCCAAACCTGCAAGTGCCACAACTGGTTCGGTTGTGGTTTGGTTTATATGGCCCAAATCTGCAAGTGCCACAACTGGCCCGATTGTGGTTTGATTTATATGGCCAGAATCTGTCAGTGCCACAACTGGCCTGGTTTTGGTTTGGTTTGTATGCTCAAATCTGCAAGTGCCATAACTGTCCCAGTTGTGGTTTGCTTTATGTGGCTTAAATATGTCAGTGCCACAACTGGCCCAGTTGTGGTTTTGTTAATGTTGCCTAAATTTGTCAATGCTACACAAATGGCCCAATTGTGGTTTGGTTTATGTGGTCCTGGCCCATGCATGGATCACTTCTGACAAACTGCATCTGGGCCACCAAAGGGTCTACATTCTTTGCTGAATCTGGGATAAGTTTCAGAGGGTTAGCTCCTTGTTTGGGCCAGAACTGGGCCAGAGAAGTTTTTCATTATGCGTTTTGTCCCGATATCTGTAATTTTGATTGTGTTGAAGCCATTTCTGTGTTTGCCAAGTGTTCAATAACATGTCAGCCATTTAAATTTTGTTATTGTCATAATATCTCATAAATATCCWTTGATTAGTTCACAAGATATTTTGCTAACAGACCTTCATGAAAAACATTTTAGCAGCAGGCACTGCTCAGTTTGTTCAATTATTCAAAATGTTTTTGCTGTGTTTCATGAATTACAATCACATTAGGCGGCACGGTGGCTCAGTTGGTAGAGCTGATGCCTCTCAGCAAGAAGGTCACCGGTTCAAATCCCGGTCCGGGGACCTTTCTGAGTAGAGTTTGCATGTTCTCTCCGTGCGTGCGTGGGTTCTCTCCGGGCACTCCGGCTTCCTCCCACAGACCAAAAACATGACTGTTAGGTTAATTGATAACTCTAAATTGTCCCTAGGTGTGAGTGAGAGAGTGAATGGTTGTTTGTCTCGTTTGTCTCTATGTGTGGCCCTGTGATGGACTTGCAACCTGTCCAGGYTGTACCCCGCCCCTCGCACTGTGACTGCTGGATATGGGCACCAGTGACCCACGCGACCCTGAAAAGGAAGAAGCGTGTACAGAAAATGGATGGATGGACAATCACATTATTTTAACTACTTGATTCTTATAAGTGTTGTTTTACATGGTTTGTTGTATCATTGTATGCACACGGTTATTCTCACAGATGGTTTGTGTGTCGCAGCTTCATGTAACATTTATAAATCTGGCTTCCTCCAGGGCCACCCGATAAGACTCTCCAGCCCACCAAACCTTTGCCCACGGCGCCCCTTCCTCGCTCCCATCCTCCATCGGACCCCCGCAAACCAGACAGGCAGACGAGACCTCCGAGGCTCCCCCCAGGGGACAGGCCGTCCCACCCCAACGCCAAACCAAACATCTGCGACGGAGGCTTCAACACGCTGGCTATACTGAGAGGAGAGATGTTCATCTTCAAGGTAAACTTCAAGGAAATCTTAGAGGGGTTTTCACGTTTGTTTTTTTGCCCAAAGCCTGAATCTCTCAGCTACCAAAACAACGTTCCTTCTTGATATTTTGGGGGGAAAATGTCTGATAAATACAACAGAACGACTCGTTCTTTTACCCAGACTTGCCTGAACAGCCTGTAGGTTTGCAGACCGCCTGTGGAGCTCACAGGAAGTGGATTTAAGATGCATCCTGGAGGGTTCAGGAGAACAGTAAGAGCTCATTTAGAGCTGAAGTAAAATGTGATTGGAAAGTCAACCCGTGTTTTCAGGGGAGCAGTTTTGTGGGGTTTATGTAAAACTAAATGTTCACTCCTCGACATAAACATGAACAATAAGGAAGACGAGGTTGAAATGTTTTAGTAAAACTGTTTAATAAGTAAAAATCAATCAAACAAAACCACAAGTAATTAATAATCTGTGGTGTTCCACAGGGTTCAATATTGGAACCAAAATCTTTTGTAATGTAAATAAATTAGATTTGTTCTGTAACTGAATTGAACAGTTTGCAGATGACACCAGCTTGTTTAGCTCAAGACTATTTACATAAAGAAATAGTAAAAACATTAGAAAGTGAATGTATTTTGGTCAAAATATGGTTTAATGTCAACAGGTTGTGAAAATAAATTTGTCGCTTGGTGGATTCTTGTTCTGGAAGTTAAGTGGAGTTAAAAAATCAAGTGTTTCTGGTTAATTTTTAGATTATTCCCTTTTTGTTTTGCTTTTTGATGTGTTCATATCACCAAAAATAAACAAAAAAACACCTTTATTCATTTGTTATTTGGTGCTGTTGGTTTAAACTTTACTTAGTGGAACAAAACACTGTGTCATGACCAGAGAATGCCGTGTCATGAGCAGAGCTCCGTCTCGTTCCTTTGCAGCTCTTCGTTCCTCTCCAGGAGAAAAAGTCTTTGTCCTCAGAGGAAGCTTGTGAGCACAAGGTCCTGGCCAGATTCAGGCAGAAACAGAGAACAACCTTGAGCCGACACAAAGCTGTCCTGTGTTCCTGGCAGAGCAGAGAATCAGTGACTTTGCTCTCTGTGTGAGGGACTGTAGTTTATAAATAGATAGTATTCATTGGTTAAATTAGAGGAACCGGAGGGAAAACCCACTTTATGTCCCCACTCTCCCCCCACAGTCCAAGGTTTTTTTTCAAAACCTCCCAAAAACATAAATCTGACTCGTAGTCAGAGCTGCCAGCATTGAGCCACAAACTAATTTTTTATTGTTTGTTTACAAAGACCTGAATTAAAAACTATTTTTCTTTCACATGACGTCTGCAGTGGTTATCCATCGGCCTTTATTACCTCCTGATCTGATAGACTGATGGACATCATGAGGTTCTGATGGGCTCAGATGTAGAGCCTGTAAACCTCCCTGACTTATGTCACTGACACAGGTTTTAGTGTTTCACCAGAATCAGTCCAAGGTCTAAACCAGAACTCCAAGCAAAACCCGACGTGATTAAAATCCACTGCTTTCACATCATTAGGAGCAGTTATATAAAAATCTCACCTTTTCAGCATTTCTCCAGCTGCTAAATGAGTTTAATGGTGTGAAATCAGTCCGGGACCAGAACTTGGACCGGGTGTCCGTGGAGGAGCAGGTGGTCATAACATTTCTTAAATCTAACTCGACGTTTTGCCAGTTTCCCCCTAAAGAGACGGACACATCCTGTTAACACCAGTGTTTTTTCCGTTTATCTGGAATCATAATTAGAAATGTTTGTGTTTCTTCGGACCCTGATAAATTTCCCTTCAGAACCTGCCAAACCCAACAAATGACTTTCACAGAACAAGAACAGTGCAGCTTATTTCAGTTTTGCATGAGTTTTATCACTTTGCTTTCATCTGTTTGTGATTTTTATCTTCCTCTGCCTGATGGATGGGTTGAAGATAGACAGATTGATAGGATTGATGACAGACGAGTTGATGATAGAAGGATTGATGACAGACGAGTTGATGATAGATGGATTGATGATAGATGGATTGATAGAAGAATGGATGACAGATGAGTTGATGATAGATGGATTGATGATAGATGGATTGATGACAGACGAGTTGATGATAGATGGAATGATGACAGATGGATTGATGATAGGATTGATGACAGACGAGTTGATGATAGATGGATTGATAGTAGATGGATTGATAGAAGAATGGACAACAGATGAGTTGATGGTAAAGGGATTGTTGATTGGCTGGTTGAAGATAGATGGACTGATGATAGATTGATAGATGATAGACGGATTGATAGGATTGATGACAGACAAGTTGATGATACACAGATTGGTAAAAGGATAGATGAGTTGATGATAGACGGATTGATGGAAGGATTGATGACAGACAAGTTGATGGTAAATGGATTGATGATAGATGGATTGATAGAAGAATGGATGATAGACGAGTTGATGGTAAAGGGATTGTTGATAGACTGGTTGTTGATAGATGGATTGATAGGATTGATGACTGACAGGTTGATTATAGAGAGGTTGATGACAGACTGGTTGTTGATAGACGGACTGATGATAGACAGATTATTAGATGCATTGATGATAGACAGGTTGATGATAGACGGGTTGATGATAGACGGGTTGATGATAGACGGGTTGATGGAAGGACTGATGATAGTTGGATTGATGACATACTGGTTGATGGTAGTTGGGCTGATGATATGGATATATTCTTTGCCTGATTATCTTGTTTTTTTGGCCTATTTGGCCTCAGCAGCTGAGCTCCACTCTGTCCCCACTTGATGGTTTTTGGAAGATTAATAAATGATCTGTACCAACAAGTTGATGAAGCAGAATTCTCTACAGCGGAGGCGGCTCTTTGTGGCCTTTTGGACTGAAGTTTATCTGGTGAAATAATCTGAGAGAAACTGACTTTACTCTCTCGTTATTTAAATGATTCATTGTGTTTGTTTTGATTGTTTAAGCTGCTGAAGTCTGACTCATGTTGGGCTTTTGCACCTGATTGTCCCAGGTATAAATACTAAATATTTAGTTAGTTTAATTAGTTTTTACTGGTTCTGAAAAGAAGGTGAACTTATGGACGCAAAGGAAATAATCTGACAAAATCTGAAAACAAATCTGACAGTTAACTATTGTTCAACTGTCACATAGAATTTCTGAGGTTTAAAGAGTTTAAATGTATCAGTAATTTATTCTGGAACCTGATTTCAGAGTCAGAAAATGAGGGGAAGATTAATTTCCAGCTGAGACAGAGGTCACAGTTTTCCAAAATATTCAAATGCTCCAGTTTTTAAAAGAGTTCATTGAAGCGCCTGGAGAGAAGCGCTCCACATTCAGCTGTTAAAACCAGAAGAGTTTCTTTATTTATATTAAGAAAAAAGTAAAACTACAGTTTAACCAGTTGATGCTTTAAGTTATCGAGCTTTTAGATGTGATTCTTGCAGTTTTAGCCTTTAGCTACTGTTTTGCTACTTGTACCATTTATTTATGGTTTAGCTCGTTTTAGTCTTTAGCTAAAATCTTGCTAATTTTTGCTTTGAGCTACTTCACTACTTATGTCAGCCTTTAGCTACTGAACTTTTAGACATGGTTTTATCAGTTTTAGCTTTTTGCTAATCTTTTGCTAATTTAGACTTTGTCTAAATTTTAGCTAATTGTTACTTTGAGCTACTATTTTGCTAATTTTACTGTTTACCTGTTTAGCTCATTTTTGTGATTGGCTACATTTCAGGTAAATGTGGCTTTGTGTTACTGTTTTGCTACTTTTACCCTTTAGCTACAAATGTGCTAATTTGATCATTTAGCTGTGGTTTAGCTAAATTTAATATTTGGCTACAGTTTAGCTAATTGTTGCTTTGAGTTATTAAGCATTTAGTTGTGGTTCTTGTAGTTTTAGCCTTTTGCTAATGTTTTGCTACTTGTACCATTTTGTTATGGTTTAGGTCATTTTAGTCTGGCTACAGTTTAGCTAGTTGCAGCTTTGAGCTATTGTTTTGCTAATGTTACCCTTTAGCACTGAGCTTTTAGACACATTTTGGTAGTTTTAGCCTTTACTAGAGCTATGTTTTTGCTGATTTTACAGCATAGCTGTGTTTTAGCTAATTTTAGTCTTGTCCACGATTTAGACAATTTTAGCTACTGTACTGTATTGTACCTTTTAGCTGCAGAAGTTTTAGACATGATTCTGGTAGCTTTAGTCTTTAGCTACTGTTTTCCTACTTGTACCATTTATTTATGGTTTAGCTCGTTTTAGTCTGCACTACTAATGTCAGCCTTTAGCTGCTTAGAGCTTTTGGACACGGTCTTATCAGTTTTAGCTTTTAGCTAATCTTTTGCTAATTTAGTCTTTGTCTAAATTTTATTATTTAGCTGTGGTTTAGCTTACGTTAGTCTTTGGATACAGTTTAGCTAATTGTTGTTTTGAGCTTTTAAATGTGATTATTGCAGTTTTAGTCTTCAGCTACTGTTTAGCTGTTTTTTTTCTTCACATCTTAAGACAGATGCTCATAAATGAGATGATGACATCTGTCTCCAGTCCTCATCGCTTATCAGAACATCCTAAAATCCTGTTTCGGCACGTTTGGGTCAGAACTTCAGCTGTGCAGACGTAGCAGCCTTCAGCTCCTCAGAACTTCGGCTCTTTCTCTTAACGGTGCCAAGCAGGACCAGATTTACTGGAGACGTGTTAATCTGCAGCTTCAGGCGGGGGTTGGCGCTCGTTAGGACGGCTGCTTTACGACCGCCTGTTCTTCTTCCTGCTCCGGAGGTTCCGGGTCGGTGAGGGTTCACGGTTAACGGCGTGGATTCGGTGTCGCCAGTTAACGTCCCATTAAATCTACAAAGTGACCCGTGTTACGGCTCCGGCTACTTCAGGTTCAACTTTCGACGAACCCGCAGAACCAGATGGGATCCCGCTCGTCTGTCTGCGGCCAACACGAGCGCCGCTTTTTCTTTTTCTGGGGCAGAACTGCAGCCAGTTTCCTCCAGCTGCAGCCCAGATGTACCGGGCCGAGCCGGGCTGCGGCGCAGCGCCTGCCAACAATCAGACAGAAAGTTTCCAGGACTTTATTCGTTTCCCATCAGGCTGTGAGTGCAGTAAAATGTGGATGTAGAGTCTCAGACACCATTATTGAAGTTTGGATTTGGGTTTATGGCTTCGCTGCTGTCGTTCTCAGTCTGTAGAGTCGGAAAATCCACGCAGGGATTTTCAGATTTAACTCACTTTTCTTTAAGCTTTAATATTTTCTTGATGGAACGGAAAGACAAAGAGGCGAACAGAGGCCCGCAGCAACAAAAACCTTCATCCATGTTCTGACTTAAGTTATATTTTGTTACCGTTCTGTGTTCCAGATGGTTTAAAATACAAAAATAACCACCTGAAGATAAATATGCACAGCGGGTAAAATAAGTATTGAACACGTCACCATTTTTCTCAGTAAATATATTACTAGAGGTGCTAATGACATGAAATTTTCACCAGATGTTGGTAACAACCCAAGTGATCCATACATACAAAGAAATCAAACCATAAATGTCCAGAAATGAAGTTATTTGTAATAATGTGGAATGGCACAGGGAAAAAGTATTGAACACATGAAGAAAGGGAGGTGTAAAAAGGCATGGAAAGDCAAGACACCAGCTGAACTCTCTCAGTAATTAGAAAATAAGCCTGCCCCTTGTCAGTGCAAGTTAATATCAGCTGGTTCAGTCCCAAATGATGGCCAGGTATCACACAAGAACCATCTGATGATGGGTAAAAGTAAAGAGCTCTCTCAAGACCTTCACAACCTTATTGTTGCAAAGCATAATGATGGCATCGGTTACAGAAGAATGTCTAAACTTCTGAAGGTTCCAGTGAGCACTGTTGGGGCCATAATTCAGACATGGAAAGAACATTATTTCACCATAAACCGACCACGACCAGGTGCTCCTCACAAGATTTCTGACAGAGGAGTGAAAAGAATTATCAGAAGAGTTGTCCAAGAGCCAAGGACCACTTGTGGAGAGCTTCAGAAAGACCTGGAATTAGCAGGTACGATTGTTTCAAAGAAAACAATAAGTAATGCACTGAACCACCATGGCCTGTATGCACGCTCACCACGCAAGACTCCACTGCTGAAGAAACAGCATGTTGAAGCTCCTCTAAAGTTTGCTGCACAACATTTAAACAAGCCTGTGTAATACTGGGAGAATATAGTCTGGTCAGATGAGACCAACATTGAACTGTTTGGATGCCAGAATACACATCATGTTTGGAGGTCAAATGGCACTGCACATCAGCCCAAAAACACCATACCAACAGTGAAGTTTGGAGGTGGGAACATCATGGTGTGGGGCTGTTTTTCAGCATATGGTACTGGCAAACTTCAAATAATTGAAGGAAGGATGAGTGGAAAAATGTACAGAGACATTCTTGATAAAAATCTGCTTCCATCTACCAGGATGATGAAGATGAAACGTGGCTGGACATTTCAGCAAGACAATGAGCCCAAACACAAAGCCATGGAAACTCTCAATTGGTTTCAGAGAAAGAAACTAAAGCTGCTGGAATGGCCCAGCCAATCACCTGACCTGAATCCAACAGAAAATCTATGGAAAGAACTAAAATATACTGTATATATACATATATAGTTATAGTTTAAATGTTTGACATATTTAAAGTGTTCCGTTCTGAGTTTAATTTGACACAAAGTCTGAACTTCTTCCAGAGTCGGGGGAGCCTGAGCTTCATTTGTCTCTGTGGAGTCTGAAGGATTCAGAGGTCCGGTTTCAGTTTGATCTGTTTTCAATTAGCAGACAGGTTTCGGCTCAGAGGAAAGTGCTGAACAACTGAAATCTACAGCAGGTAGAGAGCGTGAAGGAAGGAGGGGTTGTAAAAGTAAAAGTCGCGGGAGTCTGTTCAGTTTCTCTGAGTGAGGCAGGATGTGATGATGACACACCCCTGTGGGGTCGGACGGTTCTGGACCGGGCGTGACGGCCTTCAGGAGGCTCGGTCGGCTTCTCGCTGCCGGCGGGACGTTTCCCCACTCCTGATGGCTTTCTCAGCTGGGTGACACCCCCCCCCCCCCCCCCCCCCCCCAGCTCCCTCTGTCATCAAGTTTCATCCAAACATCAAGAAGACACACCTTCCACTTGGCTGCTCTCAGTTCCCCCTGAAGGAAATCAGACTCTGCCTCCCATAAAACCCCTGGCTATCACTTCAACACCCCCCCCCCCCCCCCCCCCCACACACACACACACACACACACACACTCGATGTGTTTCCCAGCCCGCTCCTCAGGTTCTGCAGGTTCACAGAGGTTTTCCCAGGCAACCTGAGACCGTGGATCTGAGGCTCGGGGCTCCACAGCCGGTTCTGTTTCAGCAGCGAAGACTTGGATCAGATGGAAGAACGTTCCTGCCAACTGGGTCACATGTAGAAATTCATTCTTTGGCTGTTATCTGGTGTCAAAAAACTGGATTTTAAATAAACACACTGCATTTAGTCTTTTCTTTTTTCATGTTAAAGTTAAACAAATGAATGAAGCTTAGAAACAAGTTAAGCTTTAACTTTAAATGAACTCTTCAAGCTGTTTAAGATGAGTTTCTGTGAAAAAGTCTTGAACAGTAATATATGGACTATAATTAAAAGTTGTTTTAAGACTGAAACAGTCCACTTTAATCGACATTTTAACCTGAAATTAGCAGAAACACTTTAGAATCGGCACTAATTCTTTTTTCTTTATGTATTCGACCACCTCTATTTCCTTTTCTCAGTTCAATCCAAACAACCAATAACCATGAGACCAACGTATACAGTATGAGGCTAATTATAGCAATTCATGCTTGATATCAAGTGTTAATTCATCCTTTAAGGTAAGATAAGATAAGATACGATACGAAACGACAAGATACGATACGATAAGGTAAGATAAGATACGATACGATAAGAGACGATACGATAAGAGACGATACGATAAGATAAGATAAGATAAGATAAGATAAGATACGATAAGATAAGATACGATACGATAAGATAAGAGACGATAAGATAAGATACGATAAGATAAGATACGATAAGATATGATAAGATAAGATATGATAAGATAAGATACGATACGTTAAGATAAGATACGATAAAACTTTGTCATTGTACAGAGCACAATGAAATTACAGTTTTCTTTACGCATGAAGAGTTAATTTAGCGCAAGTTTCAGGACAAGAAAACGCAGTTTCAAAGCATCCAAACGAGCGCATTATGAAACAGGAAGCAGTTTGAAGTCACATTTGTGCTTATTTTCTGTTGGCAGTAAGGCTGAGTGTAACCATAATCATAGTTTCCACTTTTCAAACCTTTCAAAATAAAGTACGACAGAAACGTGAGCCGTGTTGCTTCATGTTTCAAGGTTTTACCTGCAGAGGGTGAAGTGGGAACACAGTGGAAACGTGTCATAAGATGTTTTTTTTTATGTGTTCATATTTTTCATTAAGATGTTTAGAATAGTTTTATAATCAATATGTGATCATCTTGACTATATTAATGTACATTTACATTTATTCTGTTTATTTAATAAACACACACCTGTGTCTGAGAGTGAATCACCTGATGGGGAGGACTTCCTTATTTACCGTGACATCATTTCCTGGGCGTGGCTTGACTCTAATAAACAACTCTTTGTGATTTGGTAAACTTTATGTGGCTGAAAATAAATATTAAGGTCTGATTACTGAACTGGTTTTCTGCGTTAATTCAGGTTTTCAGTTGAAAACATTTATTTCAGTTGGTGACCCCGACGTGACAGGCCTGTCACGGTAACAGTGATAAATTGTCTCTGAAATTATTGTGATAAACAATAATATTGTTTGGAGACAGTTTTTATTGTTGTTAAACATCCCTGTGTCAAAAACAAAAAAAAAGACATGTTTTCAAATTTGCCTGTTTTAACTTCACTTCAAGTTAATGTAATAAAAATAAAAATCAGATTTATTGCATATTTTCCCTTTTGAGACATAAAACATGACTAGATACCAAATCTGAAATATAAGTTTTAATGTTTTTTATTTACTTGATTTGCAGCAGTTACATTTATTTATGGAGAGTTTAGCGTTTCCCAGTGCTTCAAATGCATCACGGCTCACTCGTCATAGCAGAGAAATTGGTTAAAATTTCTTAAAGTTTGTTCATTTTAGGACGAGTTTTCTTTAATAACGTGTTTTTCATAAAAGTTGTGAGATGAACATCCAACTTTTAGTTTTCTGCACTTGAAAAGGTTAATTTAACTCACTACTGCCCCCTTGTGTCCAAATCTTTCACCTGAATCTGTGTTAAGGTTTGGTCACAAGGGGACAGTAGTGAGTTAAACCCACAGATGTTCAGACTTTGTTTTTTTCTGCGGGAATCATCAGAAAACGTTTCCTGTTCCTGTGCAGGACCACTGGTTTTGGCGGATGAGGGATAACTCAGTGGTACCCGGGTACCCCATGCTCATCAGTGTTTTCTGGAGGGGCCTGCCACCCAAGATAGACGCCGTCTACGAGAACAGCGAGGACAAGTTTGTCTTCTTCAAAGGTGAGGACATCATCGTCATCACTTTGTCTTCATCTTGTTTTTGTTTTGTGCACACGCTATGATTGTATTTATCTCTAGCAGCTCATTGTTCTGATGCCACTCAAAGCGTCGCCTTAATCCCATCTGAAGACGAGTTAATCTTAAATCTGGGGAAGTTTAAAGTACCTGTGACCTGCTTATCCTTCAGATACGAAAAGTCAAAGAAAACTTCTATTTAAGAAAATTGGCAAACCACACATTATTTTACCCATTTGGACACTAACTGACATATTTTCTTTAACTTGGCTCGGCAAAAGAGAAACAGGAAGTGACATCAAAGGGAACTCCTTTAAGAAAATAAACTCTTTGGTCTTTACTTATCGAAACATTATGATTTGAACTCTGACTCTTTTTTCTTTCTGTGTGATAGCGACTCAGATTAATCTAAAACATCAGAATCCTCTCGACAGTCTGGGCTGTTGAGCATTTTAGCTTAGCATTGTTTACATTCAGACACTCCCCTTTGACATCACTTCCTGTTCCTTCACATGCAAATATCTCAACAACTGTTCATCTCAGTGTCATAAAAATTATTTTATAATATGTTCTCAGTGTTATCTTTCCAAAAACGCATTTGTATCATTAGAAAAATGTTGATGTCACGGCACTTTAAAGGGCTGCTCTGATGGAAAACCCAACATAACCCAAGAGTTTGACTTTAAATAATAAATAAATGTTTACAGTTTGAGTTTGGAAATCACAGTTACTGTTACCTTTATTTATTTATTTTTTATTTTTGTTGCATGAACTCCCGCTGCGTGGGAGGAAAAGAAGTCAGAAAACAGAATAAAGTGCAGTAACTGTAGATGCAGCATGTGTGTTTTGGAGTAAAGACCGGCGCCGGTCCAGTGTAGAAGCTGTGCAGGAGATTTATAAGCAGCTGAGGAATCGGGCCTGTTTTCTGCTTCGGACCTCCTTTAAACCTTTCTGAGAGATGTAGAACAGCTCAAACCCATTTTTACTTTGGACCTGTATGAAAAAATATATATCACAATATATAGATATTTCTAATTAATTATTAATATTATAGATTTCTAAATGTAATATTTAATTTTGCCAATGTCGTTACACTGCTGAACATTTAGATTTATTTTATTCATACTGGAAGTGCTACAGCTAGCTGCTGCTAATAATAATAATAAAATCGTATATTGCAACTGATATAGTCATCGCAAAATTTACAAATATTACTAATATTGTGCAACCCTACTTATATGATTTTCATTCGGTGTTTAAAGTGCCTGTGTCGTCAAATTCTTGTGTTAAATATGAATGCATTTTTAGAAAGAGGACATTGATAAAATGTTGCAAAAGAAATTTCATGTCGCTGAGATGAACAGTCGTTGAGATATTTGCCTGTGAAGTAACAGGAAGTGATGTCATAGGGGAGTGTCTCCATATAAACAGAGCGCAGCTACAACAGCTAACAGACTGTAGAGAAGAATCTGATGTTTCTTTAGATTATTTTGAGTCTCTACCAGAGAGATGAAAAGTCAGAGTTTAAATAATGTTTCAATAAACAAAAGACCAGAATTTTTTTTGTGAAAGAGTTCCCCTTTGATGTCACTTCCTGTTTCATTTTGACTGAGCTGAATTCAAAGTTAAACATGCCAGTTATGGGACAAAARYGGTTAAAATGTGTGTATTATTCCAACTTTCTTAAATATAAAGATGTTTTCTTTGACTTTTTGTTTTTTCAATGGATGTTTTTGTTTTGTTTCTGTTAAATAAAGTGGTTAGACATCCTGTTTTATACTTTATTTTCCTCCTTCGAGGTCAGATCCCTCCTCACGTATAACCGTCTTCATGCGATGTTGAGGTCGAGCAGGGGATTAGTCACCGGGCTGCAGCGACCGCCAGCGCCAACCGCTACATCAAAGTCTCTGAAGATGAAACAACTTTATTGCAGAGGCTGGTTCTGATTCATGTTAAAACCCAGGAGATAAAACATGTAGGGGGGGGAGGGGGCGTGGCCTGTGAGTGCTGAGGTCAGAGGAAGTACGACCCACAGTGAGTTCAGAACCGTCCGAGCCAAGACATGATACGACAGGAATTTCCTTTTCCTTCCTCCTCAGCGCTCCACCTCCTTCCTCTCTGAAACCTCTCAGATTAAATGACGTGACGCTTCTCTTGGATTAGCTTTTTTTTTTTTTGCAGCTATTTCCTGTATTTGTTCAGGCGAAGCGCTCAGGTCGACTTAAAGCTGAGATTCTGGTGTTTTATAGGAAAGAAATGAGACTAAACACGAGTAATTTTTGCACACAGCTCTGGTGTTCGATGTATTTTCTTTGGCTACAACTTTTCCATCTTTTTCAGCGTTTAACGATCTCCGTCTACATGCAGTGTTTGTGCAGAGGAATCCAGGCCAGCCGTTCAGCTCAGGCTGTGTTTCTGTCGTTCTCTTCACCCCTCCTCCTCCTGGCCCACATCTCAGCTCCTCCAGTGATGGAGAAATGCATTTCCTGGAGTCACGCCGGGGCAAAAATGTGCTGRTTAACCTAATTACTCCACAGGAAGGAGGGCAAGGAGGGAGAAAATGGAGAAGTGAACTTTTCCCAAACCTCAAGACGATTAGAAAATTAAATGTATTACATGAGTTTGTGTCCCAGAAAAGCAGGTATTTTCTTTGCTTAGTGGGTTGAAAAAGTCTCTGAACTGGTTTTAAATGGTCTTTTAGGTTTCCTGACCCCCGCAGAAACATTTCTGTTTCCTTTACATCTCAGCTGAGCAGAAACCAGCTCAGCTTGTCTGCACCGAGTAGTTCCCAGAGTGCCTCTAAGCATAAAAACTCAAATAAAATCAAATAAAACCAGTAATTTCCTCCAGTTTAGAAAGTCAAACCGCTCGTAGTGTTGAATGATTTCCTGAGTGTCGTCTGTTGTTTTCCTSTCCTGTTGCGTAGGGAAGCAGTTCTGGGTGTTTAAGGACACGGTGCTGCAGCCTGGGTACCCCAAGGACATCACCCAGTTCGCCCATGGCATGCCGTCCCTGAGCGTGGACGCCGCCGTGTGGTGGAAGGACGTGGCCAAGACGTATTTATTTAAAGGGGACAGGTGGGTCCTCACGGAAAACATTAAGCAACTCACTGGGAACAAAAAAGGAAAACCTTTTGTTGCCAAAACAAGGCTCAGGTTTTAAAAAATCAACTTAGTTTTCGTGTAGTTTTTAGGGGTGTAAGAAAATATCGATACACTGAAATATCGCGATATTTCATTTCCCAATACTGTATTGATATTCTAAAGCCCTGTATCGATTTTTAATTAAGGTTTAAAATGTCAACCTTCTTGCCAACTGTTCATTTTTATGTTGTAGTTCAGCCTCTGGCCACTAGTAGGCAGCAGTGAGCCAGACATTTGGCTCCTCTACCTCTTGAGCGCCAGAGAGTAAGGGTAGCATTAGCATTGTGAGTAAACATTAGCTTTTCTTTATTTTTTTTCAGTAAGAGGTTTTTATTTAATAGAATTTTTGGACAAAAAAACCCAATATATCGCAATATATTGCCTTGCTTACAGTATCGCAATATATCGGGATATACCGTGTCGTGACCCCTCTGTTATGATATGTATAGTATCGCCAAATTCTTGCCAATGCACAGCCCTAGTAGTTTGTAAAACTCTATTTTTGGACATGCATATTATTTCACTGCCCCATGTGTTTATGACTGAATCTACCAAACTAAATTATGGTGGGTTTAAGACACTCACAACAACCTTGGGACTTTTTTTGAGAAAAAAAATTACCAAAGTTGTGTCAAAATAAGTTCCAAGTTCAGTTTATTTAWATAGCACCAAGTCACAACATACGTTGTCTCAGGGCACTGTACATAAAATAATCTAAAGAAGAAACCAGCAGTTTGTGTTGAATCACTTCATCACAGTCTCCCATCCTGAGCAAACGGTGGAGAGGAAAAACTCCCTGCTAATCAGGAAGAAACCTCCAGCAGAACCAGGCTCAGGACAGGCGGCCATCTTCCTCGACCGGCTGGTTGGAGGACAGGAGAATTAAGAACCCCCCTCAAACGTTTCAAGACATTATAGAGACACTCTCACAAATGTTCACCAACCAGTCGCCGAACGTTGCAGCCCAGTGAGGTGCTAGCTTCAGAAACGGCCAGTGGTGGGCCTGGTTCTACTAATCAGCTAATAGAGAAAAAGATTTTTCGTGTAGCTACTTAGCTTTTTCAATAACTTTGAAAACCAGCATTTAGCATATAAATTTAGCAAGAGCTAATCCACTAATAAATTCTTAAATTAGRAAAAGCCCTAAAACTCTAATCAGTAAATTAGTTCCCCTATTAGTGCTTTAGGGGAATTGTGCCCACCACTGGGTTCCACGAATCAGATAATAGCAGAAAACGTTTTTTGTTTAGCTGCTTAGCTTTTTCAATAACTTTGAAAACCATTAGCGGACCAATGAGCTTCCGCTAATTTGAGTTTTGCCAACCTTTAGTCTGCTAACAGCTAACTATCAGGTATAAACTGGTATAGATTAAGTTTAGTCTATAGACCAATTAGCTTTTTTGCTAAATTAAGCTTTTCCAATTTTAGGTACGCTAACAGCTAACTAACAAGCTAGGATGAAGAATTTTGTGTCAGGAGACAAAGGAGCCCTCTAGTTACTAGCTCAAAAAAGACAGAGACGTGTGACGCAGACTGACAGACATCTTAGCAGTTAGCGATTAGCTGTTGGTGTTAGCTTCCACTAATTTGTGCTTGTTTAGCTGTCTAGCGTTATCTTCAGCTGATTTTTTTGCATGTTTAGCATTAACAACGCTATGCTTTTAATTAGTAAACTATGAGTTAGCAATGCTAACTTCTTGTTTAGCTGTGCCCACCGCTGGAAACTGACAACTCTGATGTTGAAAACAGGACCAGAGCATAAACCAAATGAAAGGTAGCAGAAGAAAAAAAATCTTATGATTTCTGCCTCTTTTTATCAAATAAATAAATTCAACCAAAAATAATCTTCAATTTACAAAATTGTACAAAAAATAAAAGAAAAACAATAAAGGTTTAATTCCTTCTTGAGCAACAATTCGTGTCTTATACCCATTCATATTCCTCCAATAAATTAACCTTTATCATTCTCTTAAATATACACATTTATCTGGCATTTTTAACGTAATCTCCCAGATTATTCCATAATTTAATTCCCTGGACTCAGGTACTCCATTCCCTCAAACTGGTTCTAATTATAGGTTTGACAAACATTTATATCCCCTTCAGATTGTAACAAGTCTCTTTTTTAACAAAATGTAATTGGATGTTTGAAGGTAATGTGTTTTTATGAGCCCTGTACATAACTGATAAAATACTATAATCAACCAAATCTGAGAATTTCAATKATTTTAYCTGATGGAAAAATGAATTTGATGGTGACTGTAATGATTTACAGCTCTTTTCTGTCAAATAAAAACAGGATTTGTTATTGTTTTACACGCTTTTCTCCAAACATCAACACAATAAATCAAGAGTGGAACAATTATTGCATTATACAACATAAACAGAGCTTTATCATTAAATAAATCCTTTACTTTATACAATACTTGTTCTTAAATGATTTATATGAGGTCTCAGTGTCAGTTTTTCATCAATGATGACTGACTCTACACATCTCAATACCATTATTGTCTGAGAAGTTTCAGGTTTTTTTGACACCAAGTTGCTTCTAATGACAGAATCAACCTGTCAAAATAAAAGCTGTAACACATGACAGTTTAGTGCYGTGATTAATCTCTAACATGTTTGTTTAATTTGCCTCCTACATCACAGGACCTGCAGCAAACTGAGATGCTGATGCTCAGCCGRCGTATCGTGCAGCTCTAAAACGGACTGCAAACTGTAAACAAACAAAAATYATTAAACTAACTCAAATGGATCTAAGTGGTTTTTAGTCCAAAAACAGCAATAATTTAATTCAAACTGTGTGTACCCAACGAGACGACCCCCCTGTTGAAGTCCTGACTGTGGAGTAGCAGCCAGCAGTTATGAACAGGATCTGCTTTGTCCTCCTGTGGCTCATCACATGTTTCTGTTTAGGTACTGGCGCTACAGCGAGGAAATGAGAACCATGGACCACGGCTACCCGAAGCCCATCACCGTGTGGAAGGGGGTGCCTTATTCGCCGCAGGGGGCCTTCGTCGACAAAGACAATGGTACGGTTTGTCCCGCTCTGATTTGGCTCGTGTGCCAGGCGGCATTGATTTCAGCTGGTCACCGGCACACGCTGCCTGGGAGGTGAACCGGGGTCGCATCGATCGCAGTTCGTCCCAGTTATCCACCCATTCCCGGTCGGTGGCACGCGTCCACGTGTTCGAGGGTTAGTGGTGTTTGCACGTTGCGAACAGAGGATAAGCCTAACCGTTTGTTTCTAAATGGTGTCAGAGGTAACAGTGTGGTGTGATCGGGCTGGTGTTAGCACCATCCATCTGTATCACTGGGTTGGACATGGCCTATAGCCGCTATAGCTAGCGACGCGCCGTCACAGGAGCCATTGCTCTGCATTGAGTCATGTCAACAAATCGGTAGAGTTTCAATGCAGGATGGGCATCAATCTGTCACAAAAATATTCATAGCACCCTCATTTCTTATCCGATTTCTATAAAATATGGCTTAAATTAAAGCTGAGAAAATTGCTGTTGTGATATGTAAATATTTGCTCAAGGGATAAATCTATAAGCAGTCTGGGAACTTTTTACTATAGGGTTTTACAGTAGAAGCCCCTTTCCCTCACATAAAACTAAAAGTCATGTGTGTCAAAGGTGCTTTATTTGTTTATATATACACTCACCGGCCACTTTATTAGGTACACCACGCTAGTAACGGGTTGGACCCCCTTTTGCCTTCAGAACTGCCTCAATTCTTCGTGGCATAGA